GATCTCTTGACCTCGTGATCCACCCGCCTCGGCCTCCCAAAGTGCTGGGATTACAGGCTTGAGCCACCGCGCCCGGCGCCACTTGCTTTTTAGAACAGTAAAAAGAATGTCTTTGTTCTCATCACAATCCAAATCAGTGTTTTCCTTTCATATTTTTAAAATGTAGGAAAAATGGGCAGAAGGAGGTAGAAGGAAACAGAAATATTTTTGACCACCTCACCCAGTGTCAGCATGTTGTTCCAGGATCCAGAACCTGTCAGTTCACAAGATGAAGAGTTCGAAAATACCTTAAAATCAAACAGAATCACCTCTGTATCATCTAAATTTTGTAATCTAAGTAAGTTTCTATTATGAAAAGATAACTTTTTCTTAGGTAGCTCACAAAAGAGATACCATCGATAAGACCTAGGGTTTAATTTGTCAAGACCCACAAATTGATGTAAAAGTAACAATTCCAGTTTCTTTGTACATACTTAAATAAGAAAGCATATGCAATAATATTTAGCTCTTTATAAACACATTTTAAATGTTCAATTTATTAACCTTTAATTTCTTAGCTTTTATATCACAGCTGATAAAGATATAAATATTTCTGGAAAAAAGTAATTGTATACATTAACTCTCAAAAAGAGAATTTTCTAAAATTTAATGATTAATTACAAAGATCAGTATTCCTAATGGAGCCTTATCCCCACTGACCTCTCCTGAAGGGGCCACATTCCGTGTTCCATTACAAGCAGAAGTTACCATGGGCTTTGTGGTCAGCTGGAATGGGAATCCAAATAAGCTGGCAGCATTGTAGAGACTGTTTTTCACTTGGTGAATAAAGCAATCTAGAAAGTGTCAACAAACTGTAAATATAGAGTAACAAACTTCCAGCAAAAAAAATCAAATGATTTCTTGGAAACAGCCTCTCTCAATTTTTATTAAAAGTTCTATTGGTTGGGTGCGGTGGCTCATACCTGTAATCCCAACACTTTGGGAGACTGAGATGGGAGGCTTGCTTGAGCCCAGGAGCTCAAGACCAGCTTGGGCCACCACGGAGAAACTCCATCTCTACAAAAATTAGCTGGGCATGGTGTCCTGCGCCTGGAGTCCCAGCTACCTGGGAGGCTGAGGTGGAAGGATCACCTGACCCCAGGAGGTTTAGGCGGCAGTGAGCTGTGATTGTGCCATTGCTCTCCAGCCTGGGCGGCAGAGTGAGACTGTCTCCAAAAATAAAACTGAAAGAAGTCCTATTTTTTTTTTTTTTGAGACGGAGTTTAATTCTTGTTGCCCAGGCTGGAGTGCAATGGTGTAACCTTGGCTTACCACAACCACCACCCCGGGATTCATGCGATTTTCCTGCCTCAGCCTCCAGAGTAGCTGGGATTACAGGCATGCACCCCCACACCCAGCTAATTTTGTATTTTCAGTAGAGATGGGGTTTCTCCATGTTAGTCAGGCTGGCCTTGAACTCCTGGTTTCAGGTGATCTGCCTGCCTCGGCTTCCCAAATGCTGAGATTAAAGGTGTGAGCCACCGCACCTAGCCAAAGGTCCTATTTTCAACCACTGAAATAAAAAGGTGGCCCGGCATGGTGGTGCACACCTGTAATCCCAGCACTTTGGGAGGCCGAGGCAAGTGGATCACAAGGTCAAGAGTTCAAGACCATCCTGGCCAACATGGTGAAATCCTGTCTCTACTAAAAATACAAAAATTAGCTGGGTGTGGTGGTGGACACCTGTAGTCCAAGCTGCTCAGGAGGCTGAGGCAGGAGAATCACTTGAACCTGGGAAGTAGAGGTTGCAGTGAGCTGAGATTGCACCACTGCACTCCAGGCTGGGCGACAGAGGGAGACTTCGTCTCA